CCAAAAATGAAGGTAAAAGCTGAAATACACTATTTTAAATTATTTAACTTTGTCTTGTGGTCAAAGTCAAGCGAAAAATATCTTAATTAGATTACTTGACTAGAACCGTTAAGTATATAATATTGATCATGCATTGATTAATATCGCAAAATTTGTCCAATCGGTCAAATTATTGGACAAATTTTACGATATTTATCAACGCATGACTCAATATTTGTGTTATCCGGCAATTATGATCATGATTCTCAAGTCGTGATTTGCTAATTGAGTTTTGATTCGAATAAACATGATTACGACATAACACACCAAAAAATAACAAAAGAAATAAATCTATGATCATAAGAGTTTTCCGGATAACAATATAATATGCATGAAAATGTAATTCTAATTTAATCCTAAAAATTCAATAAAAATACTAGTTAATGATAATACAAAACCAAACGAAAATTTAAATAATGATATTGATCCAAGAAATTGGTCCTCAAAAAAGAAGTTGTTAGTTTTGACCATCATAACTATCTGCGGAACATCACCAACTGTTGCAGGAATGTGAGTGCTTTTCCTATTGACTATATAGTTATGTTTTAAATCAATGCTTAATTCTGGGACATTCAGCCAATTAGCCAATTTACTGGTGTCAATAATTTGTCGATCCTGTCATTATTCCAGAATTTAAAATTCTTATTTACGTATGTACCGGAATTATCCGGTTAGGAAATTTATCGTTATACAATCACAATATATGCGTATTATGTTTTACGTAATAGTACTGTACACAAATGCCTAGTATTAAGTATTGATAAAAATGACTTAGAGCTAGTCCAGACATAATTCGGCATTAGTTTGAAGCCATCTTAGCCAGTCCCGATAAAAAATTTAATCATTATAATCTTGAAACTTGGAAAGGATCTTTTGCAGTATAATTGACAATCTAATAAATTTATTATTAATCAATTCACTATGGTGGGCTCACTTATACTACAAAAAGGCCCTTAGGAATGAAACTGATAAAATTGGTTTATTTCAATTCTCAACTGATTCTAAAACAACTTTTATAATATCTTTGCTTTTTAAATTTTTAAATTTTACGATTTTAGGATGCCCTTACCCGCGCTTGTTGTTATACAAAAGGATTGTAATGCTTCTGTTTTAGCTATAGATACTTTTGGTAATATTTAATAAAATTGATAAATGAACTAAATCTTTATAAAATATAATTTAGTACCAATTAAACTGAATTCTATCGTCTTCATACTGTATTTTATTTTATTTATTTTTAATTTGTAGGAGCTGTATTTACCTTTTTCTTAGGAATAGGGGTAAAACACATTTTATTTATTGTACGGGACTATTCTTTAATTCATTATACTAATAACTATAGTAATTATTATAGCCAATTTTTTGGGCTGCTTGTTCCGATGAACTCGCAACAAGAAAAAAAGCATTTATCGCTTCTTTTCTGGTATTGGTTTCAGCTTCCGTGGCGTGCACAGTCGCAACAAACATTTGGTTGTTAACAGCAATGCGTGCCATTCAATCTTTTGGTAGTTCTGCTGCATTGCCACTTAGCGCTGGCGTTATAAGTGACATTTACGATCCTCTTGGTAAAGTTTTTAATTATTTAATTTTTATTTATTAGATATCATTTATTATATATTCATTTTATTATTCATATATACAGAACGAGGACGTGCATTCGGAATATTTTACTTTGTTTATTGGATTGGCTATCTAGGAACAATTTTGGGAGGATTCATAGCTCAATATCTTGGTTGGCGTTGGATTTTTGGAATTCTGGCGATTTTTTATGGTTTCCTCTTTATTTTAATATTATTCTTCCTTCCTGAAACTTTTAATGTTAGTTCATTAAAAGCCAATACAAGTCTACGGTTTAATCCAATTGCTCCATTAAAATTATTTAAATATCCAAATATCACTTTGATTATTACATATATTTGTATATCAACTTTATTAATTCATATTCAAAATATTAGTATTCCTATAAACTTTTCTGCACGATATAATTTTACAACTTCTGAAATTGGTATATTCTTTATAGCAATTTCTTTTGGATATATGTTTGGAAGTTTATTTGGAGGAAAATATTCGGATTTTTTATCAAAAAAAGCAATATTAATTTCTGGTGGTGATTATTGTCCGGAAGTAAGAATAAAAAGTGCTTGGTTTGGTTCATTATTAATTCCAATAACTTGCATAATTTACGGATGGCTATTAGATATTAATTTTAACATCTATGTATTGGCAATTTTAATATTTTCATGTAAGTTTAAAACTAATATATTTGTTTATTTATACTGTTGCGTTTTATTAAATTATTTGATTTTTATATCTTTTATATTTTTCTTTCTCGTTTTTATATAAAGGTTCATTTGGAATGTTATGTGCATTCAGCACATTGTCTACATACCTTGTCGATTCATGTCCTGGACGCGGTGCTTCTGTTACGGCATTAAGTAGTCTTATTAGATTTTGTGTACCTGGTGTTCTAACAATTTTTGAAACTTCTATTGAAGAAAGCTTGGGTGTTCGTTGGATGTTTACTTTAATAAGTATAATATGTTTTCTTAGTATTTCATTATTAATTATAGTATATATTAATGGAAAGAAATGGAGATCTAAGTTTGTTATAACCTAATGTACAAAATACTTTAAATAGATGAATAAATATATATATTTTTTAACCGAAAATCTTTTTCAAATATGTGGACACTTGTTTTGTTCTAAATTATATTATACTTAAGTCAGGTTTATAGTTATAGCATGAAACAAACCGCTTAGGGCGATTCTAGGAAAGCTAGGTAATTTTATGTGTAATAACTACTTATTACTCATTCATTTATATAATAATACATTTTATAATTATTACGAAGGTGGGATTAGAAAACATTTAAAGGAAGAAAGCATAATGATTTTGCACATTCCTATGCCTGTTTATAGGAAGGTTCTTAATGAATTTATCATATAATTTACAATGAATAATTGATCATTTCCAGATTTTAATTTTGCTGCACTCATGTGGTCGCAAAAACCCGTGCTTAACTGGTTTCCACATTATACTGTACGTACATACAGTACCTAATTTTATGTAAAAAAAAATTAATAACGTAACCTTAATGATTATTATAACTATTTGAGTAAGTTTTCTTCCTGAAATATTGAATATGTAACAATATTGTGCTTAGTGATGGTACCCAATCGAAAACATGCTACCGGTTATCTGACGGGTATACCCGGCGGGTTACCCGGGTGATATATATCCGGGTATAAATCCTACCCGATATACCCGGGTAAGGTTAATTAAATACTTTTACTTTACTAGATAGCTGCTAGATAAAATGTAAGAATTTGTGCCTAACCGATTACTTTATCCTTCAACTGATTACTTTTTAATCAATCAATGTGCTGATTTTTATCGATATGCGATATATCAGTCAAGTAATTATCTAAAATAACGCTTTCATATTGTTAAACAAATTTTTTAAATCATTAACACTAAAATCACAATGTTTACATTAAAATCTGTGACGTAATTTTGGTGTAGTCGTGTTTACGTAAAAATTGTACTAGGCCATCAATAGATATTTTTTTTTTGAACATTATCGGTCACACCGCTCTAACAACACCGCTCTAACACCGGTCTAATAAATCAATAATAAAATAAATTAAGAAATTTGAATATGTTTCTGATAATGTAGATCGTTTTTGATTATTTGATGCAACGAATTAAAATTTTGATTTCTTTATTTTTGTTATACATCCATATTTTGCCGGTAACTTTGCCGCATCTACATAGTTTATTAGTAATACCCCATCCGTGTTGGTAACCAATGTCCAATTTTAGTAGATTTATTAATTTCTTTCATAACTTATACTAAAATGGAAATGATGGATTGGCTTGGTGTCTTAATCATATGAATGATACTCAAGGCGCGTAAAACGCTACAGTGAATACTAAACGTAGCCGTTTGAACCTGTTACAATAGGCTACTTGCATATTCACAAGGAATTGACTAAGTAAACGTCCCCATAGCTAAGTAAACGTAGCCAGAATTCAAAATGTATTTAAGGACCTAGAGTTCAAAGCGATGAGAAGTAATTAGTTCTATCATATGATTAAATAAAGAATACCATTCCAACTTTAAATAAATCGTTCTCCTTCCGCTTGAATAAAATATATACTTATCCCCTTGTGTATTGTCTTTGAATTTGACTTGTAACTTTAATAAACTCAATTCGACGGACTGAATTGACTTGTAACTTCGATTTGGCTTATTAAGACTCGAATTCTAGACCGGTTGTGGAATAAGATATTGCCATTCACCTTAGTGACTTGCGTGAATTGTGGTAGAGAACGAGGCTTACGATTGGCTATTCGACCCTGCTAATCCCTCACGTGAGCTTAACGTCATCACCGACATCACTTGATTATCGTCCGCTTTTACCTCACCATCCTTATTGAGATATCCTTAATAGCATCACCTGTAGTTGCATCACCCTATTATCACCCCTATTAATATTAAAACCTTCGTTTCATAGTGTCATATTGTCTAATAGACCCCCGACAGTTATAAACGACTCCCTAAATTGGCCTTCTATCCACATAATGTTCCTAAGCTCTTCCAACAACGGTTACATTGTCAACAACGAGTTCTATATGATCATCTCGCATTAGACCTAAAGATTTACAAATTTAGCGTGAATACCATGTACGTACAAATAATTTTTTTTGAACATTATCAGTCACACCGCTCTAATGTAGATAGTTTTTGATTGTTTGATCATCAATGAGTTCTATATGATCATCTCGCATTAAACATAAAGATTTACAAATTTAACGTGAATACCATGTTTATCAACAACGAGTTTTATCTGATCATCTTGCATTAGACCTAAAGATTTACA